AGCTAGGGTATTTTATGATCCAGATAATATGTACATAATTATGTGTTTTATGATCAGAGAATTATGTAAGGTTTATGATAATTTATAGTTATCATCTGGACTCCCAGCCATATACTGTAGTTGTGTGATAAACCATATGGGAGCTTGCCTATTCCCTCAGAATGGTATGCTATTGTTTTTATGATTTATTGTTTATAAGAAAAAGGTACATAATGTCTATGAAGATATTATAGCTTTAATAGTAATATATATTTTGTTGTAAAGTATTTTAATTATATGCACAAAGTGTAAATTCTAACGGAGTATTATATTATATGTCAAGATAAGTAAGAGTTACCTCCCTTTATGCAGCATTGTGTATAATATTGAATTGTGCATTAATGATTTTATGATTTTACTCAATATTGTCATTATTTATTTCAGGGCAATAATGAATATATTTATATCTACAACCATTAATAAACAGTGTGTCGAACCCTGACAGGTGTTTTCGTTATTACGATTCCTTAACCCTGTTACACATGTACGTTGAATTAATCTCATGTCATTCTCCATATGAACTGTAGACTGTTAATACGAGTTTGTATGTATATATGTGCATGTTCCATAAGGATTTACAAGGACTGACCGGCCATTTTCGATTATTTCCTCTGTTTATATATTGTATTTTAAATGCTATAAGACGTAAGTCTTTTGCAATAAAGAAATTGAATTGAATATTTCAAAATATGGCGATCTTTCAATGGAGAGTATCGTCTAAACCCCCCCTCCCCCGGCCCCTTTTTCAAGAGCTGGAAATAGGGTTAATTCACTATTTAGCGCTGGTATTAAAACAATTCATCAATTACCATTGAACTGTTCTTTGCATTTAAACGATTTTGTGGCCAAATTGCCATTAATATTGAATAAAATGAGTGCAAAACGTAGGCGGGAATCGAGAGTTAGCGTGCACATTTCTTCCTTCACGTGAAAAGGGAGAAGCCCTTATGTATGACAAACATTATATGAAATATAGGAAATGCCATACGTTTAGTTCCTTACGACTAATCAGTTCACCCATTTATTGAAGACATGCTTGAAATTTATCAAAGCATAAAAAAAACTAAAATCGACCTCCTTCATAGTGTATATACGTACAGTAGAGTAGCGACAACGGACCGATGACAACGGACTGAATTTTCGTATCTTGGTATGACAACGGACATTAATTATAATAAATCAAAATTTTCAGTTTGAAGTTGTTCAATTTTTTTCTGTAAAGGCTTATAACATGTCTTCATACTGACTGCATCAATTGGTATATATATAATATTCTACTTACAAAAAATATAACATCCCAAAAGGAAAATGAATGAAATCCACGTTTGATTTCACCAAGGTTTAATATCGCCAACGCAAACTCCTCTTTTATTACTTCATTTTAACGGCTGAAATTCATACAACACCAAAAGGGGTGTCAGTCCTGTTCCCCATTGCAATTTCAGACATTGGTGGAAATTATTTAACTTAAAAAATGAAAAACTGCTCAAGACCTGTCTTCTCAAGTAATGACACCGGATAGTTTTTGTCATAACCTCACCTGTAAATTCATGACAACGAGCCATTTTCAGTGCTTAACTTTAAAGGTTTCTGACAACGGTACTGTCTTGGAACTTAACGTGTTCCTGGCCGTGAGAATGAACTCTCCTGCTTGATATCGAACAGGTAGTTTCTTTTGTCTTGTCGATCTTCTCAGAGGAACTTCTATTTCCTGAGATGGTGCTGCCTCTGGAATTTGCTCCTGAGCAATCTCTCCTTCTCCACTAGCGCTAGTTGTCACAATATTTGGTAAATTAGTCTCCTGAACCACATCAGATTCCTCAGCAATCACTGGACTGCTGTCCTCAGGCTCTTCTTGACTAATTTCTACTCTCCATTCAGTCTCATCCTCAGAATCACTATCATTGGTTTGATCATGAATGGTAATAGTTTGTTCCTCATCAACTCTTTGTACTGCAGGCTTAGTCTTAACCTTTCTTGGAGCTGGTTTTGGTGCTGCTGGTGCATCATTTAGGAAACCGACTGGAAGTAAGAGATTACGGTGCAGTGTTCGAGTCCGGCCTTCACCATTTTCCCTCTTGACTGTGAAAACAGGAATGTCTCCATTTGGTTGACCAATAACTGTGTACGGTTCCTGCTCCCATCTGTCAGAAAGCTTGTGTTTACCATCAAAAGCTACTATTTTGACCAGAACTCGATCTCCTACCTTCACTGTTCCGCCTCTTACCTTTGTGTTGTAGGTATCCCTCTGCTTAGTCCGTGCTTTCTCAGATGCTGCTGCTGCTAACTCATATGCCTGTTGTATTCTGCATCGCAGGTCAGCTACATACTGAGTCGTTGGTTCCTTCTCATTCTCTCTAAGGCCAAAAGTCATGTCCACTGGCAATCTAGGATTTCTACCAAACATTAGTAGATAAGGTGTCTCCAGAAGCCTTTCAGTTTTTGTTGTGAAATTTTACACAACTCCTTAATGACTAAGGAAGGTTCCTTTTGATTTTTAGGTCAAAAGGTCAAGGTCATAAATTCAAATATACCAAACATTTGTTTTACCATAACTCCTTTTGGCGTAAGGAAGACCCCTATTTATTTTTAGGTTAAAAGGTAAAGGTCAAGGTCATAAAATCATACATTCTGTGTGTGAAGTTTTCATTTCCGGCCGATGTCTTAAGAAGCTTTTGAGTTTTTGTAATTAAATTTTATACCATAGCTCATATGGCCCACCTGCTTTACTTAAACTGCCCCCTATAGACCCCCCCCCCCCCATTAGATCCGCGCATGCTCTATTTTTTCCTTTAATTTTATTTTATTTAAGTGCTAGTGTTGCAGTCGTAATATAATAGCAACTTATCTGTTCTATCATTGAGATAAGGCGTATCAGTTAGAGATGGTACATATGCATGTTACATGTATGTGTAAGCAAAAAAATCATTGCACGCTATTCTAATCTTATGAATGTGGTTTGACAAAAGCATCAATTTATTTTACAAACTAGATTTCTGATGTTGGTCTTGCATGCCTGACAATGGTTGTTTTCAGATTATATTCGATTTTATGTTAAAGATCAAGTAAATGAAAGGAGAAATAATACAGATTTTTTAAACCTTGCTTCTGAATACATTATTGTTCCCTTCATTACCCGATTAACATCAGAAAGAGTTGGGGGCTAACGTAAGAAATTCACTACAGAACAATAAGTTTCTTTTCAGTACTGAAATATTTAATTAAACAACTTGTCTTTGTGAAACATTGATGCCCCGGTATGGTAGCTCTCCAAGGGAAGTCAAAATCCATGATCAAGGGGTCAAAAATGGTTATGCTGCTACCCAAAGAAACTGAATAAACCATTTAAATATAGATAACATAAATCGTTCAGTACAGACTAAAGTTTATTGTATCCAAAGAAAGACCTTGTTACGAGAAATAAAACTACTGAAATATAAAATACGTAGTACTAACCGTTCAAAAATTATGGCAGTGGTTAAAGTTTTTCAGTAGAAAAATGGATAAAATTTCAAGGTCAAGGACGAAAGGTCAAAACAATTTGAATGAAAGGAAATGTGAAATATGAAAGTCATAGCACTAATTGCTGAAAAGATATGGCAAGTGTGAATTAAAGCTTATTATAAAGTGGGCCAACCTCTAAGGTCGTGCACGACGTAAACAAAAACTAGAGGTACTGTGAGCAGTAAGTTCAATGAATGATAACACCCCCCCTCCCATGTGGTTATAATGGCAAATACCATGTCTTGCTCTGAGAGGCCCGAAATAAGCGTCAGATCAAAAAGTAAAATAGGGGGTGCACAATGACCTGTGACGCAGTGGGGTTATACTAGTACTCGTCGTGTTAAAAATCTATGTACAAATAAAAGATTAGTGAAAGGTATTCGATTACTATAAAATTATTTACGAAATAGAAATCAGTGATGTCATCCATTTGAATAAGTGAAATTAAATATCTCCTTTTTAAATTTGAAGATATTAAATGGCAAAGAAAACCCCCAAATTGCTTTATTGATATGTAGTTACCCATTTCAGACCTCTTTATTCACGCAACAATATCATATTCGGTCCTAGTCAGGCACGTAGTATCATTTTTGAAAGTGTGGGGGAGGGCGGCAGAAAAAATATTGTCAACTTATCTAAAACAAAATTCCTCAGTTTAAAAAATAATCTATTAATATATATAAATTTACATGGAAGATCTGACTACAGCGCATCAAAATGTGAAAGAGACCACTTTTTAAATGTTTGAGTGTGTGTGTGTGGATGGGGGCGGGGGTGGGAGCAAGGCTGACACTGTGACGAGGTCATTTTTTATGAAAAAAAATTATGACTGCATATTAGACTTAAACTAAAGCATGGTTCTAAAATACAATGGTGCTATTTTTGTACATGTCTAAGTAAGAAACAATTTAATAGTCAATATTGTCTTTTTCATAAATTAATTTTCAGTCTGAAGTTGAAAATGCCTACATGACATACTCTAATAAATTTGTCATGTAATCATTTTTAACTTTAGATTGAAAATAAATAAAAGACAGTATGTATATCATGATTTTAGAAAAATAAGCTAAGCAAGCTTACATTGTAAATACTATTTATCAAGTTAGTTTGTAAATACTATTTATCAAGTTTCTAAGTTAGAAATAAAATTACACTTTTTAAAATTTAAGTAAAGAAAAGATCCTTGTTCGTTCCTCTTAGAAGCTCTGACGCAAATATTTTTTTTATTGTGTACATTTAAATAACATCAAATCAGCACTTTTTCTTTCTCCGGATAATAAAAGTTATGTGTTCTCGTGTCAATCAACAATAAAGTTCAGTCAATAAATTAATCTTAAAAACACTTTAAAATTTCTTTTGTATAAACTTAAGAAGAAATAAATATAACTCTTGTGGTACTTAAAATCAAGGAGGCTGATTCCTTAATCATATTCGATTGTCACCTTGTATTTGTGACCGAATCAATCTACGTCACTGAAATCAGCATGGTGTGACGTTTCTGGGATATAAATATCGTCGGTAGATGTGTGACTGCTACATATACTATGGAACTGATGAGGGTAGTGTTCGGGGTGTTGATTTCCTGTGGTGTAGCCCTAGCGGCCTGTCCGGACGATGCTACAGATTTAATTTCATGGACGGCCACTTATGTAAGTAGATCAGTATTATCATCAACGTTGGTTTTATTTATTGTCAAAATCTGCTGCAGATGCGTTTTGTAAAGTCAATCTTAATTAATTTACTTTTAAAGCAAAGTTCTTTTAAACAAGTTAAAGCTTTGCCTCAATGTTGAACACAATCAGGTCTGCCATCTTAAGTACCCCCCCCCCCCCCTTTTTCGTGTGATTCTTGAAAAAAAATCTTTTACTAATTTAAGTTCATGCCTTAAAATATATTTTGTAAAAGTTTATTCTAAATAGGCGAAATTTTAAATTTTTTAAAACCAGAAATGGAAAAAGGTATATTTATTGTCACCAATTATTTTTTTCTTTTTGAAAAATAAATAAATTAATAAAGGCCAATCTCTTGGAACTAAAGTCTGTTTGATGGGTGATTTTAATTCTCATACTGGAGATTTACCTGATTTTATTAACATTGATGCACAGATTTGTGAGTCTTTGTTTTTGAACCCTGATATATTGAATATTGATACTTGTAGCAATGTAGAAATTATAACAAGATGTAATATGGATAAGTCTGTCAATAATTATGGTAAACGTTTAGTTAACTTGCGTAAAAGTTTAGACATGCTTATAGTAAATGGTAGAGTGGGTAAGGACGGAGGATTGGGTCATACCACTTGCAAAGATACAACAATTGTTGACTATTGTATAGCTTCAACTACTATTTTTAAAAAAATTATTGAATTTGAAGTACTACCTTTTGATCCTATGATAAGTGATGTTCACAGTGTATTGCATTTTGTGTATTCTTGTAAGGAGAAACAAAAGATTCGTTCCCTAATCACAGAGAATGATGATATATGCATTAAATCTAAGTGGATAAAAGAGAATACTACTGATTTTGTGCATCATCTGAATGATGAAGAAATTTATATTTCAAACCATAGAATTGAAACCTTGGATTTTAATGCAATTAACCAGGAGATAGTTGATGATATAATTAATGATTGTAATACAATAATTAAAGTTGCTGCTTCGTCAAGTGGTATGGTCAAACCCTACAAACTTAATCATCATGAACATAAGAAATCTAAATCTAATAAACCTTGGTTTAATGCTGATTGTAATGTAAAGCGCAAAAATTATCACAAATCTAAGAAATATCACTGGCGTATGAAAACTACAGAGTCTAGAAATAATTTACTACGATGTAGTAAAGAATACAAAAAAATTGTCAATAAATGTTACAATGAATACAAGAAAAAAATTATTTGCAAAGTAAGAAACTTGCAAAACAATGACCCTAAGTCATTGTGGACTTTGATTAACAAATCAGTTGGGGTCTTTGGCTTAAATAAAAACTTGAAACTTGAGACTTTGAACTTTCACCACTGATGCATTTTTTCAGTGATTTTGATATTTTCTGTTATGTTGCAAATTGACCGCTTCTCGACTGACACAAATGATACGCCATTCGCCTCACTGATTATAATTAGAAGGCAAATATAATTTTTCGGGAGGTATTTAAAAAATTGAAGGTTACAGGTCAGTATTAATGCATTGATCAAAACGTGATATACACAAAATAAATGAATTCTTATAAATGTATCTGAAGTAAGACGGAACGCCTGTTCAATAAGGATTTTGGATTCGTCTGGTAAAAATTATGATATTGTATAATTGATATTATATAAATACATGAATACAGTCTTATTAGTGCGCAGAGAAAAGTGAAGGTCAAAAGATTAATATTGTTACATAAAACGCATTAAAATTAAATGTACTTCGGAAATGAAAGCAATTTTATTTATTGTCGTCATTCAGCATGATGTATATCAATTTTTTAATCAGTTAAAAACCAAGAAAAGCTTAACGTTCTTATGCTTGATCAACTTATAAAAAGTAAAGTCTATTGATAGAATCCTTTCGTGAGATTTTATGAGGTTTTTGATTTTTAAATCTTCACGTACACTTTTTCTTCTTAACAGTAATTAAATTCATGTAAACATCCATCTAGAGTTTAGCAATTAGTGTTAAATAACCTCAATTAAAAAGAACATAATGGAAAATTCTTTACATCTGAGAACTTATATAATGTTACATGTAATGCACGAACACGTGAGCCGAGATTTAATTAAGTCAGGAGTACTCTAAATAATAGTAGAATGTGCCCGAAATCGATGTGTTCCCCCTTAAGCGCCCTTTTCTGGCTTGGATTTACCTAGAAAAACCTTATTTCACCCGTGTATTTAAAAAGAATAAGTAAAAAGTGATTGTTTAAGATTTTTCTGAATAAATACCCGTACTTGGTGATTATTTCCAAATAATTTCCAGGTTTAGTTTCACCACACATTTTTAGATTTATGAATCAATTGAAAATCTCATCTTCAATCAGGCAACGAAAATCTGTACAATAAACGTATCTTCAAAAAATGAAATTCTGAAAAAAAATAAGGTCAATGTTACGAAAATATATTGGTCTCATTTTCGTATGTTAAAAAATAATTTTTCGCGTAACGCGAAATTATATGCATATAGAAATGTTTTTCAGGAACCTTGATCTTCACTTACAGATAAGAACATGAACGCGTTACACCGATGAGTCTATCTGATGAGCAAATGCATTAAAATCTCTATTTACTTACAAAAAAAAAAAAAAAAAAAAAAAAAAAAAAAAAAAAAAAAAAAAAAAAGAACATGAACGCTGACAGGAATCTTTTAATAAAGTATCATTTCCTCAGAAGATGTCCTGGAGAAATGATGCGAGAATAGGATGGATTTTTCATCAGAATGTGTTTTATTTCAAAACCCTAACAATTAATAAAATGCATTTTACTATATTGTACATGTTTTTCAGTTGTTAAATTCACGAAATTCTTTTTACTGGTTTTATTTTAGGAAAATCTCACTCGACACTTTTCTCAATCTGTTTTTTTATCAGTAACATTCACTACAACTGTACCACTAGTAAATTAAGCAATCCATCATTTTGGACTAAAAATTGTACCCTGTAGAAACAAAGACTATAAGTGTGTGAACAATGTATCATTTCATGAGTTAACGTGCCATATGATACTTTTAAAGTAATAAATATAAATGGATGTTGTTTATAACAAATTTATTGAGGAGGAGGGGTCTACTTTTCTTAATTTTTCGCCAATATTTATATAGGCAAGGGGTTGTTGAAAAGTTCGTGGACTAGGGCCATCAGTGAAAACTATTAAGGAATACAGCAAAGAGTTTTTACACTTTGAATTAATTGTCAATGTTTTGGTAAGCAATGGAATGACCTTGTAGCGCAACCTCAAAATATGACGTCGTATCTCTACAGTGAATCTAATGGAGACGAATGAAAATTTGCCATCTTCTAATTTTGACCCATCATGTGGTGGGACACAATTGACAAATTTACCTTTTTTATCTGAGATCTTATTCTGAACAATTTTATTTCAAATTCTCTTTAGAGTGTATAAAAGATGTCTGAAAGGGTTGATTTTTCTCCCCAATTCATTTTCATGCAGTTAAGAAAACTTAAAATTATAGCTTGAGAGGGTCCAAGATCAAAATAGCATTTTGTTTTTCATTGAAATGAATGAACTATATTACAAAATCAAAAGAAAGTTAAGACTTGTGCAAATGTCTTGGTTAAACAGCAAAAGTTCAGCGAAAGTTACGCGTTTATTTGCGAAAGTTTCGCGTTATAACGCGAAAGTTACGCGTTTATTCGCAAAAGTTTCGCGTTATAACGCGAAAAAATTATTTTTTTTAACCTACGAAAATGAGCTCGATCATTGGGCTTTCGTACAATGTACTCTGTTTTGTAAAAAATAAAAACAGCAGCAAAAAAAAAAAAAAAAAAACAAACAAACAAACAAAAAAAAAACCAAACAAACAAAAAAAACAAAAACAAAACCCTAAGAAGTTAGAAACAACCAATTTTTTTTTTCAGGTGTTGACTTGTCAAAAACGCTTCTGTTTCTGAAACATATATAGCATGCATGACTACAATAGAATTTATTGTTTAAGGGAGCAACCCCTGGGCCCAGTGCTAATATAACCTTGACCCAACCAATGCTCTTGGACACTTCTGTTGAACTTTTCGGACTGACCATCGCTTCTGGAGGTCGTTTGGTATGGAGCCGACAAGGAAATTATCGCCTTCGGACACATTTTATCAGAATTCAAAATGGAGGCGAACTTCACATTGGAAGTCAATTCTGTAGATTCAATAAGAAGGCACATATCACGCTTTTAGGTAATATTTCATGACTGGAAAAATCAGTTTAAAAGAAAGCAATTTGTTTTTTTACAGCCTCTCTCTCTCTCTCTCTCTCTCTCTCTCTCTCTGTTACCTCTAGTACGGACAAGTTAATATTTTGAAGGGAAAAGTCTATCATCCATCAATACACATTTATGAAAACCAAGTAATGGTAAAACAAGACCAAAGCTCTGAATCTTGACATGCAATTTTTCTTCCTTATTATTTGACTATAAGGTGAACCAGAAGAGAAGTTGAACATTCCTGGCTTTGGGGAGAAGTTTATCGGCGTGGAAGCTGGCGGTGTTCTGAATCTGTACGGGAAAGAGAAATTGTCGTGGACAAAGCTGACCAAACACGTTAAAAAATTTGACAAAACAAGAGCCGAGATTTTCAACCACAGGGTGAGGATAGATGTAAAATTAGAATTTTATCCCCCCACGTTTTCCTAAAAATTATCCCCTCAGTCCTGAGAATTTCTGTTTTTTTTTAAATCAATTATGTAGGATAAGAAAAAAAAAACTATTTGCAAATTACACAGGATGAAACCCTGTCATTCAGTTAACTGACTAAAACAGTCTACTGAAAAGTGACTGAATGGCTAAACTCCACCATTCAGTGACCTTTCAGTGATCATTCAGTTAATTGATGACGTAAGTTTTCCTGTGTACGTAATGCATGAACTAATTTTCAAAAAAGGACAATTTAATAAACCTATTTTTGTTTCAATGTAGGAGGAGCCCAATCTCTTTAGAAATCAGGGTCTCTATGTATACCACTTCAAGGAGGAATATCCGTCAAACTTTGACATTGAAAACGACCGTGGATTTATTAAAGTCGATAGTATTTATAGAAAAATAGCATTCGGTGACCAGAATAAAATTAACACAGCCATGCAGGACCTCGTAAACTTCATCAACAGTAAGACTTTTTTAGATCTATATTAAATTATAAAATATATTAATGAATTTTGCCGCAAAAAAAATTATTCTCCATGCACGCCTCATGCCTCAATACACACAGCTGTGAAAATTTTAGGTTCATAAATAATCATAAACCTTCTGCTCATGTATGTGAATTGCATCTTTAATTAATTCTTACGATTTTCCAAAGGAAATGTTAAGTAAAAATACAAAAAATCATTAGCATACTTTTAGCTTGCGGGGCAAAATTAAGTAATTGCAAGGCATACTTTTACATCTTTCTAATTTATATGGAAATTTGATATTTCTTTTCAAAAATAACTATTTCAAAAAATATATCTATTCTTTATCAGCACATATTACATGCATACCGCTCGGCGGTCAATATTTTACACATTTAACAGGCACGTAGCAACAGGGGGGAGGGGGGCTGCCCCCCACTTTTTTCCCAACACTACTTTTACTATTGTAAATGTTCATTGAAAGGCTGGTTGGCCCCCTCACTGTTTACCACAGTAAAGTAATGGGAAGGAAATGTAGTAATGCATGTAGAAGAAAAATTGGTATGGAAAGGAATTGGCATTGAATTTTTTTCCCTCTACACCCCCCACCCCTACCCACGAAATATGATTTTCGAGTTTGGACAATTGCCTTTTTTTACTTGTCAACTTTTTCAGGTAAGTAAAAAAAATCTCTGGCTGCCCCCCCCCTTTTTCAAAATTGATGCTACATGTACGTGCCTGCATTAGAATCATACATGTATAAAACATACACGTACACAAATCTGTGAAGAGGGCACAAACGCGGAACCTTGAAAAATTTAAACACAATAAATGACTTTTACCAGATATTCCTGATGGCGACATATATGCCCTTGCTACACAGAGGCACTTTCTGCGCGATTTTAAGGATTACACTATGCTATATGATGCTATCGATGGACTTGGAACAAACTCTCTCAGGACAGTGGAAGCTGACGATGCCTATGTCGCTGTAGGCAAGAAAGGTATGATATATGGCTAACTTTAAACATTAATAGTAAATTTCTCTTTACTAACTACGATTCGAATTATATGTACATACATGACTGTTGAAATATGTATATAACTGTGTTCATGTATGTAATTTGACTAATTTCATTTAAAAAAAATATAACAAACTTTTATTATAAAGTCCGCGTTTTCGTGAATGTTGCAGAATAACCTCCGAGGTCGAGAAATGTTGTTTGAAAGATAAAAGCCGAGGCGTTAGCCGAGGCTTTTATACTTCTAACAACATTTCGAGACCGAGGAGGTTATTCTGCATCATTCACAACAACAAGGACTTTATTTCTATTCTACCATGTATACTACAATCGCTAAATTATGGATAATCGTTTCCTCTATAGAGAAACGAATTAGGTCACCATGTCTCGATTACGCTGTTCCATTCAACACCAGAGGTAAAATTTGTTTGCTTACCTGTGTATAGAATGCAGACGATTTGAGCTTTCGATACATTAAAAATAGCCTTTTTGAATTACAAATTTGTTCGTAATATGTATTGATCAGTTAAAATGAATACTGTAAATGTATTATATTTGGCGTGTACGATATTTGGCGGAAATAGAATTTTCTACAAGTTGGCGTATATTTGATTTAGCGCTTTTTGAATGTGCGTAACATAAACCTTTATACACAAAGCATTTAGGGAGGTACTTGATTTAGCGGAGGCTGCTTTCCGCGAAAGGCGCTAAAAAGAATACACAGCCAAATGTAATACGTTTACAGTATACAATAACAAAATCATGTTCGTTTTACTGCTAAAATCACGTTGTTTAATGTGTAGGGAGGTCCGTGGAATAGCCCCGCTTAGCTATAAAAACCGACATTCATCAGCAACTTGATGCAATTTACAGTGGACGACACATCGATGCGGTCTAAACAAGTATTTCATTCTACAGCCAAACATGCATTTGAATTGTTTAGATTTGATACGTGTTTCTGATCTGATAATTTTTTGATGACGTTCGTGATTTATTGGAGAATACTGTCCGCCGGTTTCCTTTGATCTTTATAATAATCGTGGTAGAATACAATATAAATTGAATGTTCACAGAAAATGCAGATGTAAGACCTATCTTTCTATTACGAAATAGTTTTAAAAAATGCAGACCATCTTTCTGAAATATCGCTACAAAACCATGCATTTTTTTCAAAACATTCTAGTAATTTGTTCATGATTTCAAATTTATGAATATAAGTTTTAATGCCAATGCGTATTTTAAATCTGCAAACCTCGGATGATAGGTGACAGGAAGTCCTATTCTGAGGACCTGGAGTCGGAGTTTGGTCCGGACGGTTCCGTCGAGGCCCTGGTCGTGTATTATAACGAGGCCCGCGAGAGGGAGCTGATCGTCAGTTCTGTCAACTACCCAGACCCTTACAGAGGAAGGACACAGTTCCTGGTCGTCAACACTCTACTGGTCAGACCCATTATCTCAGTCGTAGATGATACTTGGTCTTGGAAAACGGGTAAGTCGCTGATTCCTCTTTTGAAAAATTTGTGACGTTATTTTCTATTACTCTTATATTGTCGGCTATTATACTCACATTACTTTATCTAAAAGAGGCAATTAAAAAAAATACATTTTACAGTTGTCTTAAAATAATCTATGTTATATTTGCTTGATCTTTGAAATTGTCTTCGCAATATTCTCAGGTCAGCTTCTCCAAAAATATTTTTATATACCCCAAGGTAATTATGCGAATTCCATTAAAAAGCGATGACTTTTTAAAGAAGTTTTCCCAAAAGTATTAGATATTAGCTGTGTGTAATGGTTTTGTACATATATCTTTCAATACCTTGCGCATTCATTATATTTATTCCGTATGCATGCAAGGAAATACGTGTTTGTTTACAGGTGATAGGATATTTATAACTTCTACTGACTATGACTGGAAACAAGTGGAGGAATTCACTGTCGTCCCCTGTAACAGTCCCCTGTGTTCCTCTACCACCGTCAGACTCGACCGTAAGTCATATACATATACAGTGAAACCTCTCTAATCCGACATGCGCTCCGGAATTGACAGTGTTTCGGATTGCACAGGTGTCGAATTAGACAGTATGATAAAACCATAAAACAGTAGGTTTTAAAAAAAATCGTAAGCTACATTTTTTTCAACCTCAAACGATCTTTATGAGCGGGTAACCCTTTAGGTTCCCTCACGTAACCTACAAGTACCCCCACCACACCTAAAAGAAGCAAAACTGACATACGATTTTTTTATATAGATCCTGCCCAGTATGACCATTATGGAGAAATCTATAAAAGGGTAGATATGAGAGCGGAGGTGGGACTAATGACCAGAAACATTCTTATTGATGCTGTAGTCTCAGAGGGGAATAATAATGGTGGACACATCAAGGTGAATTTTGCTCAAATTTTCTCAAGAAGATTCATACTAGTAGTTTTTGAGACCACGAAATAATGCGATTTTTTACAGATCTGATTTTAATTTCTGTCATTTCATATCCTTTTAGTTCTTGTACGGATTTAAGGACGTACAAGTGCAAGGAACAGAAATCACGAATATGGGTCATCCGCTGATTTTAGGTCAGTTAAAATATAAACATTACGTTTCGATACAGTCAGATGATATCATATAAACCTCACTGGTGATTTCTTTGCTGTTTTCCGATGTCTTCTTTTGTCATTTGTAGGCAGGTACCCCCTGCATTACCACATGTGTGAAGACCTAGCCAATAGGACATTATACGCCAGGAACTCTGTCATTCGCAAAAATTCCATTCACCACACCCAGTTCCGATGTGTGACAATCCACGGGACACATAGCGCCAGGGTAATACATAATGTACCTTTGTACAGTGTATATTAAATTAGTATATACATTCGAAAATAAATAAACTTTGATGATTTTTTAAAAATTTTTTACGATGTTAACACAAAAATGATACCATAGCAAGCAAAAACATTATTTATTGCAAATTTATATTATATTATTATAACATATCTTCTCAAAGGTTTAAAAACGAAGCATTTACTGCATTTAATTGATTGTCTTTTTCAGCTTCTCGATAATGTTTGCTATGATACCGTGGGTCATGGATTTTTCATGGAGGACGGTGGAGAGAAACATACTTACTTCCGGGGCAATCTTGGTTTGGGGCAACAAGATTTTGTGGGGACACCGGTGCTGGGACAGACAGGAGCCATTCCGACCGACCAGTGTGTATTTTGATTATGAGTCCTTTAATGGATCAGATACCGAGTGATTACTAGTAATTGCAAACAGTTGCAGATTTGACTTGAACTTGGTTGTTCAGCCGTCTTCCAACTCTTCAAAATGGCTGCCAGTCCCTTTTTTCACATTTTCTTAAATTTATTTACAATTTTTTTTATACATTTCTCATTTCTTTCTTTCTCTCACGTATTTTAACTTATTTACCATTTAAGGGGGAAGGGACCCGCCACTTTTTGGATCACCAATCCCATTACTACAGTTATAAACAACGTGGCAGCAGGTAGCCAGGTAACTTTAAATAATACGTCATGTAGATCAAAGACTAGATGCAATACGATGATTTATTTAATGCACCTGATGATTACAATTTTCACCAAGCCAAAAGGCGAGGGGAATGTGGCTAAATAATCGTATTGACCTCGAGCTCAAAACCAGCAATATTTGTTTCATTAATGATTCAATGATAAAATGACCTAAACGCATTAAGCAATGCAGGCCATCATACTTATTTACGTTTACAAGAAGTTCTAGCCACATTAACATTGATTCTATATGTTTTGGGATATTACGAGTAATTCAAGAAATATTTTTAAAAATCATTTTATTTTAAATTTGCATTTATGATTAATATGTATATTTACCGCATATCCAGAATTAATTCACTTTTCACTTCAGGGTGTTGGAATGTGGTTTGTCTACCCCGATATACCAACTGGACCATCAAGAACTAAGAATTTCATGCAAGAAATGGAAGCTCGACGAACCAAAATAAAGCTACTTAAAAATAATGTTTTCCATTCAAATGCAAACGTACGTTTCTATTTGGTATTATCTCAATGTTAGATCTAACATTGTTTAATCAAAATGTCCTTGGATATTATATACAGTAATTTTAATCAGGATTTTGCCTCATTTTATTATACCCCACGCAACTAGTTGCGTGAGGTATAATGTTTTTGACCCGTCCGTCAGAGTGTCAATCAGTCAGTCAGTCAGTCAGTCAGTCCTGTTTTTATTTGTCAGCGCAACTCCTCATAAACTACTGCACAGAATTTCGTCAAACTTTGCAGGTATTTAGGACACAATGTGTAGATGTGCATATTACCAGGAAATTCCGATTCCATTATTTTTTCCGGGAATTTCCGCACTTTTTAAGTTAGGCATTTGGCCATACCTTGAATATAGAGATGAACAGTTTGTCAGCGCAACTCCTCATAAACCGCTGCACAGAATTTCGTCAAACTTTGCAGATAATTTTTACACAATATGTAGATGTGCATATTACCATTCCGATTCCTTAATTTTTTCCGGCCACTAAAAACTTAGGTTTTTGGCCATACCTTTTATATAGAGATGAACAGTTTGTCATCGCAACTCCTCATAAACCGCTGCACAGAATTTCGTCATACTTTGCAGATATTAAGGACACAATATGTACTCGTAGATGTGCATATTACCAGGAAATTCCGATTCCTTTATTTTTTCCGGGAATTTCCGCACTAAAAACTTAGGTTTTTGGCCATATCTTTTATATAGAGATGAACAGTTTGTCAGCGCAACTCCTCATAAACCGCTGCACAGAATTTCGTATTTATACACAATGTGTGCAGATATTTTCAACTTAGATTTTCGGCCATACCTTGAATATAGAGATGAACATTTTGTCAGTGCAACTCCTCATAAACCGCTGCACAGATTTTCGTCAAACTTTGCATATTATTACCAGGAAATTCCGATTCCTTAATTTTTCTGGGAATTTTTGCACTTTTCAAATTAGATTTTTGGCCATACCTTGAATATACAGATGAACATGTTGTCAGCGCGACCCCTCATAAGCCGCTGCACAGAATTTCGTCAGACTTTGCAGATATTTAGGACACAATGTATAGATGTGCATTTTACCAGGAAATTCTGAATCCTTTATTTTTCTGGGAATTTCGGCACTTTACAACTTAGATTTTTGGGGATATCTTGAATATAGTGATTAACAGTTTGTCATCGCAACTCCTCATAAACCGCTGCACAGAATTCCATCAAACTTTGCAGATATTTAGGACACAATTTGTAGATGTGCATATTACCAGGAAATTCCGATTCTTTCATTTTTTTCGGGATTTTCAGCACTGAGTTTTGGGGGAGCGTGGGGTATGTGAGCTAGCTCACTTTTTCTTTCATATTTTCAGTCAAGGTTTTGATGGTTTCAAACTTACTATCTTTTATTTTTTTCATCGTATTGGTTTTAAAGTAATTTAGAATGTTACAAGTTAAAAGAATAAAAGTTCATCATAGAGGCGTCTTTTGACGCATTGTAGATCTAACGTCTGTTACAGTGTAGATGCGTCTTGTTAGTATCAGTAATGTACATTTAGCGTTTGTTACAATATAAACGTATTTTGTGACGCATGTACATCGTTTGTTACAATGTAGACGCGTCTTGTGACGCATGTACATTTAACGTCTCTTACACTACAGAGCGGGCTATTTATTGATAACATCGAATTCGATAATCTGACGGTTAGTGGTTACAACATGTACAACCCACTAGAGAATCCAAAGGACCTCTCCTCCAAACCTGTCCCGGCAGTGATCGAAAGAATTACTGGTAAAAAATATATATTTTACTTGCATATACTGCTATCATTCATGTCTTAACAACAGCATTCAATATGATAAAAAACGGTAGCAACTGTTACTTAGAACCATTTCAAGGTTAGTTTGATCAGTAAGGCGAGGTATTCTCGACGTTACATAAATAGCTTTTGAAATTTACACAGCTTTCCTTCACTTTGAAATATACCTGGGAAAGAAATTCGGACAAATGCCAATTAGTGTATAGAATAACCAATAACGTTGTTTCGTCCAGCAAAGAGGTGGAGCTTAAGTCGTCTCGTCGTATTCGTCATCAATTTAAAGTTCCTGATGTTACAAATTTCTTAACCAATGAGAATCTATTTGTCAGTTGACAGAAGCTAATTACGTAGCACCGAGAACGCCACACCTTACTGAAAGTCCAAACTAATCTGGAAATGGTTCTAGCCATGCGCTCGGCTCTTTGAAGTGAAAGTTGCAGAATACTTTTACACATTTTCTTGTCATATCTTTCCTGACAAACAAAATAACTTTTACTTTTATGATTTCAATTAATAAGATATATACGTGTATCCTCCAGCATACAAGAATAGGGTACAGAACGCATGGGTTCGAGGGACACCGATGATTGTCAGGGATTCATCGTAAGAACATTTCATATTCTTGATTCGTTTTCTAAACTTTAAACAAATGCTTAATATCAAATGTAATTGAATATTCACATACATATCGCAATAATTACATTTTCAAAGTAGGTTTTTAAAAAAGCCATTTTTTTCATATTTCAGGTTTGCGGACAGCTTATTGGGGGCAATTGTCATCAAGTAAAGGAATATATTTGATTTTTTTCCCCTTTTTTCCAAAATAAAGTATTAGTTCCTAAAAAGAAATAACACAATATGTAAGATTTGTCCAAAAGAAAAAAAAACAACAGACAAAAAAAAACAAAAAAAACAAGGAATTAAATAAAAAATTAAAAATAAAATGAAGTGCATAATGTTTGTTTTGTAGGGAGAGTGATATATGGGTGGAGTTCAGTAACAATATCGTGCTGGGGTACACTGATAATCTGGGGAACCCCAAGTCGGGGGAGACCAGATCCTTCCCTAACGAGCCGTAAGTATGCTTTAATTAGATGTAGCGAAGACTCTACGATTTTTTTTTGGGGGCGGGGGGAGTGTTTTTCTTTTCTCTTATTCCAGATATTTAATTTCTTAATGAACAATATATATTAAATACGAACAGATATATTTTTATTTGATGTTACGGATTCTGATTGGTCGGCATTGTACAGCGTCTTTTCTTCCCTAACAACCCCAACATAACAATACCAGTAATTATACTTTACAACACCGTTCCAAACTGGTCCATATTCAGACATTTAGATGTGATACACATCTTTTCCTTAGTTAATTTTTGTACATGTAACAGCAAAGCCACTAAATTTGATTAAAATCTAATGGATGAATTTTAATTTGATAGAAGCACATCATTCAACAATGGGCAGGCAGTATTTTTTTCGAGGGTGTCTCATATAAACTTTGCAATAAAAAAACCCTGATCAAACGTAAAAAAAAATGTTGCAGAGAGGAGTTGGATGTAGAATGGGTATGCAACTCTTTCTTTTTGCAGCAAATGTTTTTTTTTCGGGGATGGGGGTGAGGGACAAGGGATTACTACGTGCCGTTCAAACAGATGCAGTCGTTAGTGATGTATGATTTGCGATACACTAATAATTGTTTGATTTTATACAAATATTATTCATTCTCGTGTTGATCAATATTGTCTATTTGTGTCGATTCCAGGTCGAAGGATGTTACAGGGTTCCAGTTTGAAAAAGGGCCTGTATTTGTGACGAACACTTGGTTTGATGATTTCATTTCCACCTCCACATATCAGGCAACAGCTCTGACCAACAAGCTTTGTTTCATAAACATGAATGCACAAAATCAAGTTGAAAACTTGTCATTCGGATACAACGATGTGAGCCTTCTCTCTTTACTCAATATACTATTGTGTATATTTCTGAAATATATTGCTTAAAGAACTATTTCGTATGTGAAAAAATTCAAGAAAAAGAAAAACGCAAGAAGACCATTGCTGCTAGTAATTTTTTATGTACATATAACTCCCTTTGGTTTCACTTTATTCTCGCACATAAAGAATGTGAATTTTTTTAAATACCCCCCTTTTCACAACTTCAAGGGGTCCTTTCGCTTGTGATCGTGGGACCCTTGACACGTTGTGAGGGTGGGTTTTTTACTTATTGTAGGGACCCAATAACAGGATCAAATTTCGCCAACTCGACACATGTGAAACTTCAGAGGACATAGATGCCATGTTCTCCGTGAAAGACGTTGGTAACGGTTTGACCGAAAGTACCGGACCAAATGACGTCACATTGGTTGTAAATATTCCTTTCCACGTCACGAGTCAATGTAAAGTCAGGGAGTCTTGGAATATGGCTTACTGCCCTTATAATTTTGGAGAGGTTAGTTTTATCTCATCATAAAATCATGGCGATGCAATAAAATATTGGTATTAACTTAATGATTATGTTGCTTGGTTTTTTTTAAAATTAATATCTTATAATCTACAACACAGGATTATCATTATCATGAGACGCAAACCAAAAATCTGAAGTGTATACATCATTCAAACTGTGATCACTTTAAAATCCTATTATACGGCAGTGAATTTTTCGGTGAACTATTTTAGATACAGGCTATTTATCGAACTAAAGAGTTACTGAGCGTTTACCGAGTGGATGGCAACTCTCCACAGAAGAGAGACTTGTTCAAGAAAAAATTTCTCGCCATTCTCGGCCCAAATGGCAACAACTTCCTTTATTTGATGGTGTTCAAAAATGGCATGCCAGCTGTCGTTCATTTTGGAGGAGAATCTGTTACAAAGTATATGAATTTTACTAAGTTTATGTTTCTGTGATTTTTATCCATAGCCTAAGGGTTATTTTTACGGAAATGAAGAATTTTCAAAATTATTGGGGTGTTAAGAAAGTCCATTCCATAATAAAATATTGTCAAAAATTTCAAAGTAGTGTTTAACTAAAGAGATGAATTTTCAAGTCTGACAAAATCGCAAAAATTTGCTTTAGATTTATAGCAAATCATTTCAAGCAGGAAGTTATAGGATTTTTCTTCCATATATGAAAATATATGTGACATTTTTAAAGCACTCTAATGATAGAAATGCTGGTCATTTTGAGTGAAAATAAAGGATAATTTACTTTCGTTTCTTCATATTTTATCTTGCATCAGACAAGCTGATGAGCATACAATGTAGGTATAAGAACGATAGATCACTTTTTAAAAGAATAGGTTTGTCATGTTGAAATTTTTTTTACCGATTTCATAATTTTTGCATAGTATTTAAAAGGATGTTTTGACCTGTCTGCTTAATATATGTCACAAATATACGTCATGCCTATTTTTTTCTGAACAGACATCGTCTGTTTAAATACTTGACCTCCCCTTATTGATTCAACAAGACAGTTAAAACTTTATCAGTGGCAAGAATGAAGTCTGTACTGATGAAATATCACAAATTTTGAACACATTCTCATCGTATTTCTTTTCGAAAATAAAAAGAAAATGTGGAATGAACTTTCTTAACACCCTTTAATTGCATTACTTTATCTCTTTTTCAAAACTTGTTGGTTGCATGGAAATAAATTTTGCAAATTTGCGAAATTATTTTAGCGCAGTTTACTTGCTGTGTCACATACACGTATCAATTCTGAATTTTAAATGAAATCTTGTTAATATTCATTCAAAGATCTTAGGATAAGACTTCTTAAGTAGTTCATCAACCTTTGGGAAAAGAGAAAGGAGGGACTGATAACCGGGTACTGCGGTTGTCCAATGTTTGCGACGTACGATAATCGAATTCACCTAGAAGAACCATTGATTTTATAAAGCACCCAAAATGTTCTCTGTGAAGCTATAAAGATTGTCTTTCTTTGTATCAGGTCAGACACCGCAGTGATGGCTTACTGTATACCCAGGGACAGTGTCCTATCAGTGGCTTACAAACTGGACGAAGATAGGAGGCCGACTGAGATGGTCAACTCGCTGGACGAGGTTCTCGGTGATACCGAGGGAGGAAAATTCTTCATCGACAGACAAGTGGGGTCAGTGTATTTTGTCATGTAACTATACAAGTGGGGTAAGTGTATTTTGTCATGTAACTATACAAGTGGGGTAAGTGTATTTTGTCAGGTAACTATACAAGTGGGGTAAGTGTATTTTGTCATGTAACTATCAGACAAGTGGGATAAACTATCAGACAAGTGGGGTAAGTGTATTTTGTCATGTAACTATCAGACAAGTGGGGCAAGTGTATTTTGTCGTGTAACTATCAGACAAGTGGGGCAAGTGTATTTTGTCATGTAACTATCAGACAAGTGGGATAAGTGTATTTTGTCATGTAACTATCAGACAAGTGGGATAAGTGTATTTTGTCATGTAACTATCAGACAAGTGGGGCAAGTGTATTTTGTCATGTAACTATCAGACAAGTGGGGCAAGTGTATTTTGTCATGTAACTATCAGACAAGTGGGATAAGTGTATTTTGTCATGTAATTATCAGACAAGTGGGATAAGTGTATTTTGTCATGTAATTATCAGACAAGTGGGATACGTGTATTTTGTCATGTAACTATCAGACAAGTGGGGCAAGTGTATTTTGTCATGTAACTATCAGACAAGTGGGATAAGTGTATTTTGTCATGTAACTATCAGACAAGTGGGGCAAGTGTATTTTGTCATGTAACTATCAGACAAGTGGGGCAAGTGTATTTTGTCGTGTAACTATCAGACAAGTGGGATAAGTGTATTTTGTCATGTATCTATCAGACAAGTGGGGCAAGTGTATTTTGTCATGTAACTATCAGACAAGTGGGGCAAGTGTATTTTGTCATGTAACTATCAGACAAGTGGGGCAAGTGTATTTTGTCATGTAACTATCAGACAAGTGGGGTAATTGTATTTTGTCATGTAATTATCAGACAAGTGGGGTATATTGTAAGTGCATTTCCTGCTGCAATTATTTCAGTCCCAAAAGGAAGGCATCTTAGAATTATATTTCTATTATTCTGAGTATTATATACTATATCATTATAGTAAAAAACTATGTTTCTTTTGATACCGTTACATTTTCTGTGTATTTTATCGAACCGACTCTACCGACCAAAATAATTTTCTGGGAAGCCCAATGTTCGTCTAGAGATTCATACCGTTCCCTTTCTTTTTCACAACCAGCAAACATTGCATTGTTATTAATATTAAAATTTCAGAGTTATCTTCTTTAAAATGATACATGTCGCTGATTATGAGCCAGGAGAGAAAGCGTCCTGCCCCACCGGAATTTGTCACAGAATACTCGTCCGCATCGTCAGCGGCAATATGGAGGACACGGACTGTTCCGGCAGGTTCTTTGCTGAGTCCTCTTATCAACGTCCCGGACAGGTAACTTATAGAAGTATATTTATGTATCATAGTATGAATTTCTGTAAATATGACAATTTATGCTAAGGAGTATAATTTTCGTTACTTATTCGCTATAAGAAATCTTTCATGCAAATACTGGTATTAATTCCTCCGCGTTCATTTTATTCAGTACATGTATTCTGATACATATGCTGTAGAAGAACATGTAAAATCCATGTTATTGTTTCATATTATCTAAAACATATGTGTAAATATGTTTACGGCATATTTGCTAACGTTTAGCAAGGGTCTACAATTTGAAAAATCAATTATTTTAATAATAGAATCATGTCATATCATTCAGTGTACTGTTTTGGGTTATACGAGGGTTGTTCGAAAAGTTCGTGGACAACTGTCATATCTTTTTTATTTGACGTCATATGTTTACCAAATTTGGTAGAAATATTTTAACAATAAATCCAAATGATATGTATGAATTTTGACAAAATATTACGATTGATTAAAAACTTGTCCAGATTTTAAAAATGCAAAAATCGGATCGCGGAGCAGGTCAAAATTTAGTCAGTTACAGACAATACAATAAATTATGTCTATAGTCATATTCTCTGTAAAATGGATAAAAACTACCTAGAAATTTTTCAAAATTGTAACATTGATACGTGTACTAAATTATGCTTTTATATTTTGCTTTGTTGAAAAGAAATCAACTAGAGAAGGAAGTTTTCCTCATTGAAAACGACAAAAATGATGACGTTTTAGTCGTCACGGACAGCAGGTATAAGCAATTTTGTGTTTTTCTCAGGAAAAATTCTGTATAAACTCTGTCAAAAATGTATAAGGAATCAAGAAAATGTGTCACAAGCGAATTGTGCATGTGTGTACAATTAGTACAGGCAATATTTGAGTGACAGGGACTCTGTATTGGATGAGGATGACCTGTGAACAAACGGTTTTACTGTAAACATCTGAACAAAACTTTAAAATTTGAAACGTAAAAGAAAGACAAAGGCGCTTCAGAGTTGCTTATCCTGAGAAAGCAGAGTAAAGTTAGTATTGTAAAAGAAATTAAAACCTTAACAAAGGAAATTATACAATGAGATCAATTCTTAAAACAATAAATGTCAAGTATTAGAGAAATAATTTAATGAATGGGCATTGGAATATCCTGTGTGAAATGTATAGGTATAGTATCTATTATAAATTCCCGACGGTATGTGTTGACGTTACATTGCCGTTTTGTGTGCTCCGCGGGTACAAAACATGTTGATTTCAAAATGAAGTAAATTTATTTGTGTTAAATCGAATGGAATGAAACTTCACACATCAACAAAACAAATATTTTTACATATTAATGATGTGCTTGTTTTGAATTTCCAGTGAGTAATATAACGAAGATGGACATCGTCCACGAACTTTTCGAACAACCCTCGTATATTGGACAATATTTGATATTATGCAGTCGACTCCAACTGTAAACTTGTTATTTTTAGGGCAGTCCAACAGTTGATAATAGTATTCTACAAGCTACAGTTACGGAACCGCCAGAGGTATAGTATTTATACAGAGTTTCTTTTTTTGTAGAGTTGGTTCACTAAAAAAATATATTAATAATCTAACAAGTAATTTTTAAAGTCCAAATGTTGCTGAAATGTGAATTTTTGTTCACTTTACTAATTAAAGAGGGATTTTTTGCTACGTGTAGGTAAAAGCGTGTCTCCGTACTAACCAGGTATAATAATATGATTCGGGATATTGCGTATACTCTGTCATTGGTTACTGAGTATTTGTTTTTAAATAGCAAAAACAGTTTTTAATGTATATTATTAATGAGATTTATTGTTTGCGAGCATCTTATTATGGTATGGGGATCCTTGTGTCTATCATATGGTCATGTGATATAAATGGTAAGTCTGTTCGAATTTATCACGCTAAACTCAAGTTTATTTCATTATCTAAATGTCGTTTGATTTATTGCTAGAGGTATAGGTTGTAATGACCATTTTCTATCGATCATAAATCAATTAATAATTAAGGACAGATGATACAAACAAAAAAATGAATGCCTGGATTGGTTTATATTTTTTGGCCTAATTTCATTGCAAATGATGCAAATAATAAATTTCTAGAATATGAAGAAATTGTAAAACCTTCTGTGATGTTCAAAAGTCTGCCCTTCTGAAACCATCCTTGTTAATCTATACAAATATTTTTCACTTCAAATTCCATTTTTGTAAAAAAAAAATTGAATAAAAAATCAAAAACTACGCGGTGAAAGTTATTCATTTTACTCATTTAAACATGACCCAAGTTGTTGTTTTCAATTTTTTTGACAAAAGTTTGTATCATCTGTCCTTAATATTCTTACAAACGAAATTCCAGCTTACTGCAAAAAAGTGAAGGTTTCAGCGAGGCTCGAACTCGCGACCTTCTGCGTGTGAAGCAGACGTGATAACCACTACACCATGAAACCACTGTAAATATGCTGGAGATTAAATCCCACCTACTTTTTATATTTTTTGGAATATAGCAAGTGTTCATTGAAATGTTTAAATAATAAAATTCAAGGTAAAATATCTGAGTGGTGAAAGAGCAACTCAAGTTCATGATTCTGTCAAAACTTACAAACAAAGGGTTATTGATCGTAAATATCCATCCATCTTTAAATTGAGCTTTCTTGACAAATAGGGGGTTTTTTTTTCAAAGATGTATATTTTTGTAAAAAAAATTGTGAAATAACAGAATTAACAACTGATTGATTATTTAACATTTTTATTTAGCTTCATGGATTATCATTATTCTATGTTTAAAACAATGCATGCGTACTGAAGTATTCCTAAGAACATTTCGCCACTGATATTAATATAGTTTAGCTTCATATGACTTTCAAGATACAGTACGGGGAAGTTACCAGGGTCTAATTCACGATAAACCAAACAATACAGGCTCACTGGAGAATATCAGTTTGATTAAAACAAGATGCTTTCCAAATTTATAACTTATCAGAATCGAAAGACAGACATACAATTCACATGATTCATATGTTTAAGAAATACCTGTCAATTTTTTGGTTTCATTATGGTATCAATCGAGTGGCTTCCGTAAAAATTTTCATAAACGCTGAAGGCGTTTACGCTGAAAATTAATACACAACGTAATTGATCATCGTCATGAAAAATAAAAATCTGACAGTAACTTCTTTATAGTAACATGCTCTTGATTCCGAAATCCACGTGCTACAGGCGATGAACCAGTAGAATTATGTAGAAATAAAGTACATTTACTATTTGTAATTTTATCTCAGACAAAGGCATTGTAAATTAAATATTAAACTTTAAAATATACAAGTATTAAAGCGAAAACAATAAACTACTTAATATTTTGTTGTTATTTTTTTTTACAGAACTTGGGTGCTGGATCAACATACCCACAGCCATTTTGACATCGGAATACTTAAATATGATGGAAACTTTCTGAGGCAATGAACTGAAAAAGACGATAATAAAACAGCTTGATTTATACTAAACATTTTCTTTTTTATTTTTTCATCACAAGAATTACATATATAACAATTCACTTGGGCTGGGGCTGCCTTGGGAAAAAATGCAGGACACAAATTTTGAAGTGGAATCGAATGTTAATTAAAAAGAACATTATGGGAATCTAGTAGATAATCTTTGATTGATTTTAAGAAGCAGTGAACCATAACTAATATACTTAACTACATAAAGCTTAACAAAAAAAAACTTGATGATTTAAACTTTTTCTCGTCAGCTTCCGTTATTTGAGGAATCTAGTTTGTTGAGTATGCCAGGGCATCAACCATAGTTGGAAACGTAAGATATTTTTGCATACCGGGCTTCGCCAAATTGTCAGGGTTTCCTGGCATATCCAACAAACTAGATAATGATTCCTTAACAAGTTGCTGTCCTTTAAAAACAGGACTGCAATGTGTGGACCAATATCCATACGCAAGTGTTTCTAATAATTATACATGTACATACATCTCTAAATTCAATTATAAGAAAATTTCTAGGTGTAGTGAATATGAATTCATGAACGTATTTTCTACAATGATCTGCCTACTTTGACTGTGAGTACTTCCATAGCAAAATTGTTAATTTTTTTTCTCCGATTAGCCTTTAGTTCTGTCATTTAAAAAAAAATCGGGTTATTTTGATACATGTAACCCATAACGGCGCTGACTTGATGTCTGTTCTGGATTTATACAGAAGAAAAATATCATTGGAAAATGGACCCTACGATGGTACACGTGTAGCACAGCTCTGTACTATTGCACATATTTTTTTCGGAGGTCCCCCTCCCCCACATGGAAAACCATTATTACAGGCCTCTATCAATCTGTATCTGGATATCTGAATAACAAATTATTTTGCGAGCCTTGATGCACAAAACTAAAGCCGATGAAGACTCGCGTTATCTGTAGATATACTGCAAGTTCCTTCTACTTTTTAAAATGCTTGTGTCATAGAATCAATGTTTAGTGTGTATATAAAAGTATATGTATAAGAGAGAATATTCGGATACGCCAATGAATATATAAATAGTGATTAAATACGATTTAAAAGCGACATTTG